TATCTAGCAATCTAGTACCTTGCTACCCACTACCAACTGCCCCCTATTACCCTTTGCCCATTTTCTGTATTCGAAAAAAGGGAGCAGACCAAAAGAAGAAAGAGGAATAAGGAAGATGGCTTGGCTGCGATATGGAGATTGGAAGGGGCAGAATTGATATAATAGTGACAAGGACCTGTACTAATATACAATAGGGATGGAGAATGAGATATTCTGAAGAGGTAGACTCAATGGGGACTACTGATCAACATAAGTAATGTATATGGTGGAAAGAGAATAGTCTTTGGAGTTAGCTAGACCTGATTTCAAATCCCAGCTTTGTCACTTACCGGTTTTGTGACCTTGGGTGTTTTACATACCTCTCAGAACGTCAGTTTCCTTTTCTTAAAATTGGGGTAGTAATACTCAGCCTATAGGAATTTGAGGAATAAATGAAATAATATATGTAAATTGACTTACCACATAGTTATAAAATGATAGCTACTATTGTTCTGGGGGATGAAGGAGATGAGGAGAGTCAAAAATGACTTCTAAGTTTTTTATTTGGACAGTGAGAAAGAGCTAGATTAGGAAAATGGGGTAACCTGGCTGATTTTTAGATTGCCTGTGAGAAATCTGGGTGAAATGTTCCCTGGCAGATGACAATAAGAGTATGACACCCCTGAAGGATAATTTGAATAGAAGGTACAGATTTGGAAGACATCGCCTTACATATAGTAGTAAAAGTTACAAAAGTAGGTAAGATCACCCAAGAAGACAGAATGAGAAGAAAAAGTCTGAACCCTAGACAGTAGCCTAGGAAGCGTAGAGGGAGAGAAGCCTGGCAAGGACATTGAATTGGGGGTGGTCAGAGAAGTAGGAGGATTAGCAGCTGCAGGTGCTCCAGTGAGTAGGAGTAAGATGAAGGGGAAGAGTATCTTTGGGTTTAGCAACAAAGAAATTATTAGTTACATTTACCGTGTTTTTTTTTTTTTTTTTTTTTTTTTTTCCCGTTTTGTCTTTTTTCGTGTCCGGCAACAGACCGCAACCCTCAGTGTCACACCCGTACCGGACCGGGACTGGCAACGGGATCGCAACCCTCAGTGTTGCGCCCGCACCTCGCTCAGCCAGTGAGCGGGAACCGGTCTGTATGTGGGATCTGAACCCTCGGCGGGAGCGCCACCGCACTCCCAAGCGGTGCACTGTAGCAGTGCGCCACCGGGCCGGCCCTACCGTGTTTTTTAGCAGATGGGATGGATGCCTAATTTCAGTAGTTTGAGGAGAGAATGGGAGATGAGAAGTAAAAGAAAGACAAGTGTAGACAGATCTTTTAAGAATGTGACATAAGTTTAGATTTAAATGCCGATTTTTTAAAAAAAGCAGAAAAGAAGGGGTTCTGAGATTGTAGGAAATTATCTCAGAGAGTCAGGTTTCAAGAAAGATGGAGTGATCAGTGATGTCAAATGCAGCAAAACAATCCTGTAATGATCATTGTGAAAATGCACATTTGGCCATTAGGAAAGTCTGTGAACAAGGAGCTAAGTCCTTGTAGTGGAGTGCTTTGAATATCAGACTTTGGCTAAAGGGAGAATGATTAAATTATTGAGCATGGAACTGGGATCGCAACCCTCAGTGTCGCGCCCGTACCGTGACCGGCAACGGGATCGCAACCCTCAGTGTCGCGCCCGTACCGTGACCGGCAACGGGATCGCAACCCTCAGTGTCGCGCCCGCACCACGCTCAACCAGTGAGCGGACTGGTCTCTATATGGGATCCGAACCCTCGGCGAGAGCGCTGCCGCACTCCCAAGCGCCGCACTCTACTGAGTGCGCCACCGGGCCGGCCCTTTTTTTGACTTTTCTGGCAGCAGGTTGAAAGATGATATGGGAGAGAAGTGTCCATTGAGGCTGATAGAAGCATAAAATAACAAGGGCCTGGATCAGGGCAATGGTCTTGGCAACATAAAGATAAGATAAATGTAGGAGCTGTTGCTCCGTAGCACCTTTATAACTTGGCAATCAATGGGTGTAATGGGTAAAGAAGTGGCCTAACAGGTGCCTCTTTTTTTTTTTTTGGTGGCTGGCTCACATGGAAAAGATGACATTTTAAGGTTTTGAGTGGGTAATAAGGAGAGTGAGAGTAGCATTTATTGAAATGGACATTAGTAGTAGCAAGATTGGAAGAGAAGATGAATTCTTTTTTTTTTTTTTTTTTTTTTTGGGCAGCTAGCTGCTATGGGGATCCAAACGCTTGACCTTGGTGTTATCAGCATGATGCTCTAATCAACTGAGCTAGCCAGCCAGCTGTAATTTTTCATTTTAAAACTTTGATTTATTAAGCCTGTGTTACTGAGTGGCTGATATATGTTGGGCACTATTCCAGACACTAGAGATGCAGTAGTGAACATTAACAGGCAAGATCCCTGCTTTCGTGGCGCTTAACATTCAGAAGTGAGGTGAAGATCGAGAAAAAAAAAGGACAAAATAATTTAAGAAAAATATGACAAAGGTAGGTGATGATATAAAGATGAATTGAGGGGGACCACTTTTAGATGATGCGGTCAGGAATGACATTTCTAAAGAGGGGAGATTTGAACTGAGACAGAATATTACTAAGGAGTCAACTATGTAAAGATCTGAGTGCAAAGACATCCCCACCCATACTAGAGAATATGTGCAAAGGTCCTGAGAAAGAAATAAGCTTGAATTGTTTGAGGATTAGAAGAAAGGCCAGTATATCAGGAGCAGAGTGAACAAGAGAGACTAATACATGATGATGTCTGAGCAGGGTCGGTAGAATTATACTTAAGCAGGGCCTTGGAGGTCTTGGTATGGAGTTTCGTGACTTATTGGTGTCAGTGGAAATGAAAAGAAAGTAGTATGTTGAACTTGAGCTGTCTGTGAAACATCGAGGTGAAGAAGTCAGTTATCAGGCTTAACTGTATAAATCAAATGTGATTTGCCTAGTATTGTTCATTGAAATAACAAGTTGTTTAGGCATTGAACAAATGGCTGAGGAGTCTGTCAAGGAGAAATGATCAAGAGATATGAGGGATCAGGGATCCCTAGCAATTTTTTAACATGATGGTCATCTTATATATCATTGCAACCTGAAAGGAATGACCAACTGTTATATGAACAATAGCTGGAAAAATTATGGCCCAAAATATTTCATGACTTCAGGAGATACAAAGAATACTTGCCAACTTAAAATACCTGCATTTCCATAGGGAAAATGCTGTAAAGATTTTATTTGGTACTTGTTTAGACAGCTCCCATTTCTAGAAATCCAATCTTTGCAGTAAACAGGGAGTATGTGCTTCTAGGTACATAAGTAGTTTGAACCATTTGCTTAGCCAAAGTCATCCTTAAGGGATCTGGTTTTACTGAGTATGTAAAACTTACATGTGCTCAAAAGATACATTGAGGTATAACAATTATACAATTGCTTTACAATTTATAAAGCCTTTACCTGTGGAAAATCAACTTGATCTTCAGAAACAACTCTTTAAAGTAGATAAGAGACAGGAATTTTAGGGAGGTCAGTGTTATTATTTTAGAGGTGAGGAGACTGAGGATCTCCAAGTGCATAGTCATGAATCCACAACTTTTGACTGCACTTGCATTGCTTTACTTATCACAACACATTAAATCAAAAGGTGAAAAAAAGTGTGAACATCAGTAGAGGAACTAAAATATGTATTCTTATTAGAATGGTTGCAAAAACAAATGTTTTTATTTGCATTTTATTTATAGGTGCTACCAAACTGAGCTAACTGGGTTCAGAGTACCATGGATACACAGAGTAGGGTGAGATTGACTTTGGCTGGGAGAGTCAGAGGTTTTATTTTGTTTAGAAAATGTATGCTGATTTCTCACTTGGCAATTTTTATTGTCTTTTCTGGGTTGTTTTATAAATTTAAAGTACTACATGTGCAGCTTTAAAATAAGCCTTTCTATTTTACCCCCAGGACCCACATGTTTATTTCTGCTAGCATAATTTATTCTTGTATTGCCACGTAACTCAGTGGAGACTAATAGTAATAATAGCTAATTGTAATAAACAATGCTGAGTCAGACACTGTAGTAAGGGATTTGTAAGAATTATTTAATTCTTACATCAACTCTCTGAAGTGGGAGCATTCCTTCATAAATTGGTGTTTTATTTTCAGTCGATTCACATACTCGTTATTCCCACACCTGATGGGGAGCATACAACTGTATGAAAGAAAGGGTAAGTATAAGGCGTACGCTAGTTGTACTTCAAGATAAAGTGATGCAAATAGATATTTTTTGGTTGTATTATTCATTGTTTATTGTAGTGTTCCCTAAGTGAAGAAGACAAGCTGGTATATGTACTAACCTAAAAGATGAAGTCTAAGCAGTATCAAACGTTAGTGAATAAAATAATAATATTCTAAATATCTTTTTATGATTATAGTGACAGTATGTAATAATCATGGATGGTTTTGCATTTAAAAATACTAAATTCTATGTGTATACTAAAAAAAGACGACTAAGCAGTAAAAAGATGTTTCCTTAATTTAAACTATTTAGAAATTAGAAATGTTCATAAAATTTAATCCTTTGTTATTCTTCATGCCTATATTTTCCTGACATGAATGAGATATATTGCTTACGGTGGAAATGGTAATAACACTTTGTATTTATATAGCATCTTTCATCTGAGGATCTCAGAGTGCTTTTCAAATGTCTCATAAACCCTCACAGTACATCAGTGAAGTAGGTAGGTGGCAAGTATTATAATCTTTATTTTACAGATAGAGAAATTAAGCCACAAAAGGTGTTAAATGATTTATGTATAGTCCCATCAACTAGATAAAGAGACAATCTGAGCAACTGTAGTAAGTATATTTTAGGAGGATTGGCATAGTATTAGTCATTAACCCCTTTGCCTTTGTATTTTACACAAATTATTAGAACAAATTATTACACAAATTATTATCCTTTCTTGAGGAACAGAAAACATTATAATACTCTTTTTTTCCCCTTCCTTTTTAGGTCAGCAGCAAGGACAAGATGGAGTAAAAGTCCAACAAGCTACTATAGCTCCTGTAACTGTAGCAGTTGGAGGTATTGCTAATGCCACGATAGGTGCTGTTAGTCCTGATCAACTCACACAAGTGCATTTGCAGCCAGGCCAGCAAACTTCTGATCAAGAGGTGCAACCTGGCAAGAGGCTTCGAAGAGTTGCCTGTTCCTGTCCTAATTGTAGGGAAGGAGAAGGAAGGTAAATAAATGCTCTATTTTCAACTCTCTCTCTCTGGAAGGCATAAAATAGTAGTTAAAACCAAGGCATTGCTTGAATACCTTGATCACTGAAACTTCACTAGTTTTGTAGCCCAGAATGTTAAGATATAAGTGTTATGAAGGGAATTAAGTTGGGCTATCCTAGGAATGGAATTTGGGTGGTCCTCTGCCTTATACCTTATACTTTTTTTTTTTTTCCTTTTTGTCTTTTTTACTGACTGGTAACGGAATCGCAACCCTCGGTGTTGCGCCCGCACCACGCTCAGCCAGTGAGCGGGAACCGGTCTCCACATGGGATCCAAACCCTCGGTGGGAGCTCCCAAGCAGCGCACTGGAGAATGCGCCACTGGGCCGGCCCAACCTTATACTTTTTTAAAAATTGTTTTCTTTTTTCATTTATTGTGTAAAATTTTTAAGCACCTTTATTGATATAAAACTCACACCATACAATGCACCCATTTAAAGTATACAATTGTACAGTGGTTTTTAATATATTCAGAGTTGTGCAGCTATCACTAATCAATTTTAGAATGTTTTCATTATTCTCAGAAGAAATCCTGTATCCTTTAGCCATCACCCTCTTAGCCCCCCCCCCCCCCCCCAGTCATTCCTTATTTCTGAAGTCGATGCCCCCCCCCCACACACACACACCCTTCAAGCCCTAGGCAACCACTAAACTAATTTCTGTCTTTATAAATTTGCCTGTTCTGGATAATTCATATAAATGGGATTGTACAATATGTGATCTTTTGTGACTGGCTTCTTTCATTTAGCATGTTTTCAAGGTTCAGCCATATTATAGCATGATCAGTACTTTATTGATTTTGTAGATGAGTAATATACTGCGTTGTATGGATAGACAGTCCCAGACTTATCATGATTCAGTTAGTATTTTTTGACTTTAAAATGTCATTCAGTATTCTTGTTGACTTTTGATGGGGTATATCCCAATAAAAGAAAAAGAAAGCTCTCTTCTATTCCTGTTTACTGAGTATTTTTATCACATTAGATTGTGTCAAATGCTTTTCTGCATTTATTGAGATGATTGTGTAGTTTTGTTTTTTATTCTGTTAATATAGTATGTTAACGTTAATTGTTAGATGTTAAGGCAGTTTTGCATTTGTATTAGTCAGGGTTCTCCAGAGAGAGACAGATTCAAATAGGATATGTTATAAATATATGACAGGGGATTTATTAGGGGAATTAGCTCACGCGATTATGAAGAAAAGTCCCGCGATAGGCTGTCTGCCAACTGGATGCAGGTAGCAGGGCTCAGTCCAAGTCTAAAGGCCTCAAAAACAGGGAAGCCAGTGGTGTCCTTGGTGTATGTCCTGGGACCCAAAAGCTGAAGTCTTGAGCTCTGATGTCCACGGACAGGAGAGAAGAGTGTATCCCAGCTCCAGCGGATAGAGAGATTCACCATTTTTCTCTGTCTTTTGTTCTCTCTGGGCCCCAGCAGATTGGATGGTTCCCACCCACAGTGAGGGCAGGTCTTTCCTACCTAGTCCACTCAGGCTCTTATACTAATCTCTGCTAGAAACACCCTCATGTTTCTAACATACCTAAAAAAATAGCTTTACCAGGTTTCTTGGAATTCCTTGATCTAATCAAGTTGACACCTAGAATTAACCTTCACAGCATTCCTGGGATAAATCCAACTTGGTCATGATGGATAATTCTTTTTATATTTTGCTGGATTCACTTTGCTACTATTTTGCTGAGGATTTTTGCATACATACTCCTAAGAGATACTGGTCTGTGATTTTCTTTTTTTGTAATGTCAGTATCTGGTTTTAGTAACAGTAATACAGGCCTCAGAATGAGTTGGAAAGTGTTCCCTCCAATTTTTTTTTCTGAAAGAGTTTGTGAAGAGCTGGTATTAATTCTTTAAATGTTTTGTGGAATTCACCAGTGAAGCTCTCTGGTGCTGGGCTTTTTTTGTGGGTAGTTTTGATTACTACTAATTCAGTCCCTTTACTTGTTATATGTTTATTCTGATTGATTATTTGTTCTTGAGTCAGTTTTGGTATTTTGAGTCTTTCTAGGAATTTGTCCATCTCATCTGAGTTATCTAAGTAATTGGCATAGAATTGTTTATAGGATTCTTTTTTATTTTTTTTCCTTTTTGTCTTTTTTACTGACCGGTAACGGGATCGCAACCCTCGGTGTTGCGCGCACACCGCGCTCAGCCAGTGAGCGGGAACCGGTCTCCACATGGGATCCAAACCCTCGGCGGGAGCGCTGCCGCGCTCCCAAGTGGCGCACTCTCCACTGCGCTACCGGGCCGGCCCTAGGATTCTTTTATTATCCTTTTTATTTCTGTAAGGTTGGTTGTGATGTCCCCTCTTTCATTTCTGATTCTAGTAATATGTGTCTTCCCTCTTTTCTTCTTGGTCAGTCAAGTTAAAGGTTTGTTAATTTTCTTGACACTTTCTGAGAATCTCAGTGTTTGACATTATTCTGACCCCAGGAAGGCTGCTCCCAGCCTCTTTTCTTGCTTCTCTCTGGCAAACTAGCCAGCATACAGTTTAGCCCGTATCTCCGTCAAATCTATTAGAGTTTCCTCTCAATTGCCTTTTGCAAAGTCTGCACTTTTTTTGAGAGCACCCTCAGGTTTGAACTTCTCCTCACTCATTCCTTTGGGAAGAGATTTGGAGCTCTGGTTTTTATGATGCTCTTGTCCCTCTGTCCAAAATTTGAGCCATGGCTCTTGAGCTGCAGGTTGAAACAGTATCATGTTTCTCTCTGAGTGACATCCCTGCTTTAGGAGCTAAATGCTTGGTGACAGGGACAGCAATAGCCTTAGGTCTCAGCTTGTCTTTCCTGGTTTAAAACCTCCAATTTATGAACTACAAATGAGCCAGGTCAAGGGCAGTCTGGATCCTAGCATTTTTATCATGCCACATCCAAGGTAGAGCCTATGTCCTAGGGTTGGGAGCTGGGTGTCAGCCACACTTGCCTTGACCTTAAGACTCAGCAACAGGTAGCTGGAGGGAGGATGAGAAATGCTTGCCCCTTCTGGGGAGATAGGCTTCTGACTGGGAGGTGGGAGGAAAGGGAACCCTGTTCTTGGCTGTACTAGTCTGTAATGCTCCTGTGTCACAGAAGTGGGAGGGAAAAGGGAAGAAGTGAGTCTTGGTTCAAATGCCACAGACTCTCAGTATTCTTACCTAGTTCTGTTAGATTTTGTTGAATAAATGTTTCTTTATTTGCTGTTATTTGCTCTTAGGACTATTTCCAGAGACTTTAAATGGTGTTTTTTGTTGTTTTTTTTTAAATAATTTTTACCAGTTTCACTGAGGAGCAGGTCCATGTAACTCCTCACACTGTCCTGCTGGAAATTAGACTCTGTACCTTACACTTTTAACTGAAGTTAGCCATCCTTTTGGTATTTTAGAAGACAATTTTCAAGTGTCTTCTAACGCTTGAAGAGATTTTTTTCCCCAAAGGAAGAGCCCATTGGGGAAGGAACATGAAATAAACTCTCTGAAATTAACAAATTTTTATAGCATTTTTATTTTTAGGATGCCGAACTGTTTTATTTTTTCCTAAATTGAGATTTTTCTGACTTTAACTACAGTTGTGGCATCATGATGAAACCTGTTCAGAAAAGCTTCATTTAATTGCCTTGAGTCCCTTTTATTTTCCTATAACTATAAGCTTGGTGTTTGGGAATGTAATTAATCTTTGGCTTTTGTTTTTGTTAGAGGTAGTAATGAACCAGGAAAAAAGAAACAACATATCTGTCATATTGAAGGATGTGGAAAAGTTTACGGCAAAACATCTCACCTACGAGCACATCTTCGCTGGCATACTGGAGAAAGACCTTTCGTCTGCAACTGGATGTTTTGTGGCAAAAGATTCACAAGGAGTGATGAGCTTCAGAGACATAGAAGAACCCATACCGGTTAGTTGGTTTATTTTAGTAAAAGGCGAAAGATTTATATGATCTGAAGAGAAACCAGAGTATTAGTCGGTTTATTTTAGGACTTCTACTTTTTACTTATTTTTCCAGTGCTGAGATGAAAGTTTTAATGATAGTTTAGCTATCAAATTGGAAATATGCAAATTGAGAAAGAATTCACTTTAGCAATTATATGGATGATGTTTAAGATCAAAATTCTTTACCTTATTTCTGAGGTACGTTTTGTGCTTTATCAGCATATTTAAATGACCTGAAATTTATTCCATTTGTTTGTCTTGTGTTTTTAGCTTGTTGAATTCACATACATACTATTTTTTGTAAGAGATTAAGTAGATAAAAAGAGAGTTGAATTATGGTCTTATTGATACCCTTCATTCTTTCTTTTTTAATAAATCTAGAAAATTCACCAAAGTATCAAGAATACCGTAACAAGTACCCACCTAACCCTCACACAGAATTGACAGTTCCTAATATTTTGTTTTCTGTTATTTTTTAATAAAACAAATCATTTATGAAGTTGATATCTTCTTTGCCCATCCAAAGATAACAGCTATCAGGAATTTAATGTGTCTAAGTTTTCAGTACATTTTTAATACTCTTAATATATATTATTTATGGATCTACAGCTATCGTGAATTTAATGTCTGTTTTCACTACATTTTTAATACTCTTAAATATATTATTTAGGGATTCGCATATAAAATATTGTTTTGTGTATATTATGAAATTTACATACATTGCAGAATCATAATTTCACTTACTATGTTTTGAGATCTATCAAAGTTCCTATATTTCTTTTAACTGCTATATAGTATTCTATCACATTACTCTACCACACTGTATTAATTCGTTTCCGAAACTGTTGACGTTATTGTTAGGTTTGTTTCTTTGTTTTTGCTGTTACAAACTTTGCTGCTGTGAACATACAGTGAACATGCATGAGAAATGGAATTATTGGATCATACAGAATTTATATGTTTGGTTTTGCTAGATAAGGGCTAAAGAGTCTACAGTGGCTGTTAGTCTTTACTTCACTAGCAGTTGCACTTCACTGTGCTCACCAATACTCAGTAGTATCAGGCCTCAGAAGTTTTTGTCAATCTAAAATTGTTTCTTAGTTTTTTCAGTTTTCATTTTTCCTGATTATCAGTGAGATTAAGCATCTTTCCATGTGTGTATTAGTCATTTGTATTTCTTTTTCTATTTGTTTTTCCATCCTCATTTTTCTGTTGTTTTCCTTTTTCTTATTCATATGATTTGTGTGCTGCAGTTTCCCCTTATACTGCTAGTCTTTTATCTTTGTGCTATCTTTTATCATATGGAAGTTTTTGTTTTGTTTTGTTTATTTTTTGGGTGGCTGGCCAGTAAAGGGATCTGAAAGTTTCACATTTTTATTTAGTCAGTTATAAATATTTCCTTTTGTCTTTTGCTTTTTAAAAACATTTTCTTTTAATAGCTTTAAAATTTCCTTTTTGTAAGTTTGGGCTTTTATCAGCCTGGAATTTTTTTTGATAATGTAATGAAATGGGGATATAATTTTTTTTTTCCATATTGAAAACCATTTTCTTGAATAACCATTCTTTTTCTATTGATTTGTAATGGTACCTATCTCATATAATGTCCCATTTAGGTGTGTCTCAGTTTCTGGGTTCTCTATTTTTAAGCTTTTATCTATTTCTCAGTTTCTACAAAAATACTGTATTATTTTAATTACTATATTGGTGTAAATTAAGTCTTGACATCTGGTAGGGCAGTGTAGTGGATTGAATTACGACCCCCAAAACTCACTGAATTTTAAATTGTGTCCCCTAAGTTTTATTGTGACCCCCCATTGTGACTGTAAAGAGGGTGAGAAATCCTATTATGATAATTGTAAGGTGGGGCCTTGAAGAGGTGATTGGGTTGTAGGAGCGTGCAGTAGTGAATGGATTAAAAATGGTGGTCAAGGGCATGGTTCTGAAGGCTTTAAAAAAAGAGGAGAGTCTATCTGTCTCTCTCTCTGCTTCCATTATCTTGCAATGTGAGACCCCTGAGTTACTGTTGCCACCACGAGATAGACTTTGGACTTCTCGGCCTCAGAAACTGTAAGCAACAAATTTCATTTTCTTTATAAATCACCCAGTTTAGTGTACTTTATTGTAAGCAACAAAAATGGACTAATACAGGCAGTTTTCATTTTTTTTGGTCATAACGTCTACCCCCTCTATTTAGTACATGTCTGTACATTTTGGGGACTCGATATTTATTGAGTAAATTAATTTGAATAAATTATTGAATTAGACTTTAAACATTAACTTGTACCAAAGTACATATGGGAGAAAAGGGAAAATAGAACTGACTTTTTTTTTTTTGGTGGTTGGCCAGTTCAGGGATCCAAACCCTTGACCTTGGTGTTATAACACACCATAACTGAGATAACCATTCAGTCCCAGAACTGACATTTTTTGATCAGCCACCGTATATCTGATGTTTTGGAGATATTTCATTTGATTCTAACAATAACACTGTAACATAGAAATTAGCTCCATTTTACAGATTAGAAAATATCTAATCTGTAAAAGAAAGTTATATGTATTTGTAGTTATATAAATAATTATAAACTTTAATAGAAACTAAACAGATCCTGCAAAATCAGTTTGGGAATGAAACTCCAATGTTTTTCATAAAATAAGGAAAATTAGATGAAAATAGATGAAACAGGAAACTCCTTCAGTTGCTTTGAAGTTTTCCCCCATAATTTTTTCATAGATGCTTCAGATTAGTGTATGAAATGGTCGAAACTGCTGCCTTTGAGTCTGTTGTCAGCCAGAATGAATTAAACTATATATAGCTTGTCTGTCTCATTGATTACATTAAACACTCTTGTCCAAGTTTGTTTGTTTTCTTAAGCATCTAAATGAGGACAGTGTAAACTAAACAGTAGACAATTCAGTGCAGTAAAAACTTGAATAACAGTGCATGATATAGGTTAATTTCACAGGGTTTTTCCCCTTCATTGTCTCCCAGGTTTGACTCTGTGAGCACTGCATGGCAGATGTAGGCAGCAAAAACTGGGAGAAACTCTTTGTGTTTAGTCAGAGAAGCAAGAAAAGGGGCCCTGTGCTCCAAAGCCAGTCACATTCGCACATTGCACTGCAGGAGTGGCAGCATAGGAACCAAAAACAATAGAAAATACTGATATCTCTGGCAGGAGGAAGGTAAACAGGGCCTTTGTTTTCTAACAAATCTGAGGGGAATGTGAGGGGAACTCTCATGTATTGCTGGTGGGAATGCAAAATGGCACAGCACCTTTGGAAAACATCTTGGCATTTTCTTACAAAGTTAAACATACTCTTACCATATGATCTAGCAGTCTACTCCGGGGTATTTACATAAGAGAAATAAAAACTATGTTCAGAAAAAGCTACGAATGTATATAGCAGATTTATTATGGCTCAAAATTGGAAACAACCCAGATGTCCTTCAGTTTGTGAATGGATAACTTTCTGTGGTATACTCATGCAGTAGAGTACTACTCCCCAGCATAAAAGAATGATTAATAATAAACACAACAACATGGATGAAACAGCATTACACTAAGTGAAAGATGTCAGAAACAAAAGTCTACATAATATATGATTCCATTTATATGATATTCTGAAAAAAATCAAAACTGTAAGGACAGAGAACAGATCCATGTTTTCCAGGATGTAAGCAGGGAGGAGGGAGAGTTTGACTACAAAAAGACACCATAAAGATATTTTTGGAAGCGATAGCAACTCTTCTGTATTTTCATTTTGGTGTATTTGTCTAAACTAATAGAACTGTATGCCCCCCAAATTGAATTTTACTGTATATAAAGCACAAATTTTAGAAAGTATGAAACAAACTCATTTTTGAGTGACTGCAGTGTGAAAAGAGAGATTTAGTAATTATTTCATATTTTAAGAATTCAAAACAGTTTTCTGTTCAGCCTTATGCACATGCCTCAGAATCATGCAGCACTTAGCTCCATCAAGGATAATAAGATTTAGAGCTTAATGGACTCTTTTTTTTAAAACAACTGGCTGTTATCCTAAGAATGATTTTGTACAACACCATCATCTTATAGATGAGGAACCTGAAGTCTTGAGAGGTTAATTGACTTCTTTTCCAAGTTGTCAAACTTAGTTTCATTTGCTGCTTCCTAGATTCTCTCTTTGTCTTTGACTTTCAGCAGTTGGATTATAATGTGTCTCAATGTGACTCTGTTTGCATTTAACATACTTGGAGTTCATTGAGCTTCCTGGATATGTAGATTAAGGTTTTTCGTCAGATTTGGGAAGTTTTCACCTATTGCTTCTTCAAATATTCTTTCTTTAAACACCTGGAACCATTAAATCTCTAATTCTGTGCTAAAGATAAAGACTCTGTGTGCACACCTTCAACACTCAGCCAGTCAGTTGACAACTTTGCCTTAGCCTTCACTTCCTGCGTACACAGAGCCTCAAGGTGTTAAGCACAGGTTGAGAGTTAGGGCTTTCTTGGGCCTTTCCTGAGCGGGCTCTAACACTAAGCATGTGTGTGGCCTTCTAGATTCCCAGGAGTATGTCAGAGCTTTTTTTTTTTTTTTTTTTTTTTTTTTTTTTTT